CAGTAATTCTCATTATACATGCAATGGGCTCATATACCATAATTAAATCTATAATAAAAAATATCAAGTTTGTGCAGTTCATACCCTAAATCATTCATAAACTGATATAGAATATTATAAAAATATTCTTTATAAACTTTATAAATCATATTGTAAATTTGAATGAGGTTGACTCATCGCAAGTTGTCCTCGATCAAAAATAAATAAATAAATAAATTGCATTCACCATTGCCTCACTACAGAACTTGTATATAATAATCCTAGTCACGAGCTTTGTCATTTCCTTTTGAATTGTTCGGATTGCTAGATTTAACGTAGTCTGACAATACCAAATTATAAAACAAAATTGTTCGAACTACATATTAGTATCGTACTAATATAAGCTCGTTTTAACATTTGAAAATCTATATAGTAAAATCGATAACAACCAAACTCATAACTCCATTATAACTTCAAACTTATCGAAACACTTATTCAATTCCATAAATAATTATTTTCAGCAATATTTTTGAACTTTTACAAATTATAAAATCTAACCACATATTTTAAATTCTTTCTAGAATTCAACTCAACTTTTCCTTTAATTTCATAATAGCTCTTCAATATTATGATTATTTCCCATCAAATATAAAATTTCCAGCAACTAAAATAAAAGTTCAAATCAATAATTCAACACTCAAAAGCTTACAATTTCATCCTAAACTTTCTTAGGCTTTTCAATTTCAACCTTACAACTTGATAAACTTGAAATTCAATCCCAACTTAATACTTAAACTCCAAAATCAGCACATTTTCCCTAAATTTTCAGAATTATTCTAACTCACCCAAATGGTACTTTTACCTTTAAAAATTAACACCCAAGTTCCACCATTATCAAGGCTTTCCGAATTCCAACCTAAAAATTCCAAAATTTTGCAATTTAACTCAAATCAACTTTCTAAATTAAATTTCAGCATCTCAAGTACCAAAAATCAGTATTAAATCTTTCAAAATTACATTCTTGCAATAAAGTTTCAAAATTTTCAAAACTTGGAAACTAGCTCTTTTTCTTATCTATGCTTCCAAATTGATCCAAATGAACTCCCAAATCACATAGAATACTTCTAATATAATTTCTAGACCATATGAAATTTTTAAATATTTTTTATTCCACCTTCTTGCTTAATTATGACTCCACAACACCCCTAACATCTTAATTCAACTTTATTTCATTTAATTCTAATTTTCCATTCATCCACCATAATCACCAATTTAATAATTTAAGCCATGAAACAATGAAATGATTATACCAACTTGTAGAGAATTTAATGGGGATTATTTTCTTATTTCACCCTTTAGTCCAAAAACTCACTAAATTTGATCAAAAATGGAAGAAAACAAATTGGCTCACCTTGGCTATGGTTTCGGCAGCTTGCTGGGGGAGATAAGAGGAGTTTCACGAAAATTCTCACAAAATATCTCATACTCTGGCCTTTAAAAACAATTTAAAACTAATTTTTTATTCATTTGGGATCAAAAGACTAAATTGCCATTAATGACTTCCAAAAATTTCACACATGTCACTCCATTATCTATACTTTAATATTATCAAATAGCCATCAAATATCATCTCTAAATTTTCACTTTTGACCCTCAAATTTTCCAAAATTTCATTTTAACCACTAAATTACACTATCTCACTTTATCTTGCAATTCTCACCAAATTCCACAAATCCAACTTAAATTCTCACTATTTAAAAATATCCTTATAATTTTTCCAACCCCAATATACCTCCCTTGAGATTTTAATAAACTTATGATTCGACCGGATATTGTATTTCAATACCAAACTTTTCTGCTTTATAAAATTCCACTAAAATATATGTTTTAATTCAAATTATTCATTTACAGGCTAAACTATATAACTTTTAAAATTACAACTTCGGTTTCTATACTTTTCAAATTCTATACTTTAGCCATTAACTTTCAAAACTTACATTTTAGTCACTGGTCAAAATTTGGGGTATTACATAACATATGTGATGTTCTTGGGTCATCAAGAGATGTGGCTCGAAATCCATCTAAAATGGCTTTCGATAGTGAATTTGAGGACCCGACATATAGGTTTCTGAACAGTATTATGACACTATTGGTGTAACACCCCCAACCCGTAACCGACCCAGATACGAATTTGAGGTGTCACATTGACTTTTCAAACTTTGACTCTTGACGAAATTCAAGGAAATTTAAAACTTTCATTAAAATAAAAGTAGTTTATTTACATAAGTTGACCAAATTAAACAAAATCGATCAGAGCATTCATAACTGACACTTTTATTACATGCCAACACACTATACATAACAAAATACATACTTTATCAGTTACTTCTGATTTGATCTTCTAGTAGTGACGCTGTCCTTGCCACTCCTATTTATGTTCTTCTTGTTCCTTGGTACCTACGTGTAAATCACTTACACGCTAAGTCATAGACTTAGTGAGGCATTTGATCATAATATTTCAACTTGCATGCATATATTACACTATAACATATGATTATGCCATGCACATATGAAGCTTATATTCTTATACCAGTTTCACTTTAATTTATCTTTGGATTGCCCATGTACATTATTTAGCGAGTACACTGAGGTTGTGCACAATACTGTCACCACAACTCAAATAAAATCCCAATAGGGGCACTGAATATTTGTCCCGAAAGACCACTATGTCCCGAAGGACCACTATGTCCCGAAAGACCACTAATAATCCCTCAACTCTTGGCATGCCAATTATACCTACAACTCTCATATTAAATAACACGGGCTTAATTATAAATACATTTCTCATTTCATATCTCTTTCATCACTGTCCATGTAAACACATAAGTCACTTCATATGATCATTCCCATTATTTCATATACCTGAAAGGATTATCTTATAATGACATTCATTCCTATAATATCATGTTAACGCATGAATGAAGTATGCATGAAATCACTATAATGTTAATACATATATATGTATTCATGTGCTTGAATATGGAATCATAATTTCAACTATAAGAGATAGACTCATCACAAGTCTTATATCAATATAATTCTATCTAGGATATGCACTCACCTTAGCCTTGCTTGCTTGACTCAATCCTAATCCCTCTTCCCCTTTGAATAGTCGAGGCAAACCTCTCTGGCTGTACCGATTCACCAGCTATCATAGGACAATCCTGAACAAAATATCTGGTGTCCCCACATTTAAAGAAGGCTCCAAAAATCATTCTACATATCCCCGAATGATTCATTCCACAATGTGGACATTGTCTGACTTGGCTCGGGTTAGATCTCCCAACTCTGGATCCTGCTGACTGAGTTTGCCATCCCCTCATTGGATTTGATCCCATAGCAGAGGATGCCACTGACTCTGATCTAGGCTGAGGTCGAAGACCAGCATCTCGACCCCTTTTTTCTGGTGTCAAACTAGACGATGCACCTGTTCTTTTTTATGTCTGAGCTTTAAAATCTCCAAATATTCCATTTTGAGCCCTTTCCAGAGCTTTAGCACGGTTCACAACCTTTTGGAACGAGGATAGATTTAACACAATTAACATTTCCTTCAATCTTGGACGTAAACCTTCCACGAACCACTCACAAGCATCCTTCTCTGTAGGAATAAGCTCGGCAGCAAAACGACTCAACTTGTTGAATTCACATTCGTACAAGTACACTATACGATTCCATTACTTCAAATTCATGAACTCTTGCTTCATCTGTCGGATAAACTGATCTCTGATATATTTATGCTTGAACTCTTCTAAGAACAAAGACCAAGTTATTTGATCACCAGGCATTCTCAATGTAACGTTGGTCCACCAAATCCTTGCTTGCCCTCTAAGCAAAGAAATTACTCCATCGAGTTTCTCAGCCTCGGAACAATGAAGTCCCTCAAGCATGATTTTCACGTCATTAAGCCAAAGGTCCGCAGTAACAGGACCATTTTCGGCTTCACCTCTAAACTCTGGTGCTCTCAATCCCTTCAACTCCTTTGCAACATTTATTCTCGGAGTTGAAGTTACAGAAGGTTGGAAATGCACCAATACCGCGTCCAAAGTACTAAAGAATATGTCTTGATCAGCTATAGGCACTCCAGAGGGTGCCTGTTCTTCACTCTGCCTGGCCAGGGCAGGTGAATTACTGCTTTCAGCGGGTTTATCATCTCCCACTTCACTTTTAGAACTACCATGTCCGAACATCTATAAAAACAAAACCATATATATTCTATTAGCCAAAACAACATACCTACTGTCCAGCGACCTATAGGTCGCCATGCAAGCTTCGCGACATGGTAGGTCGCCATGCATGCCCGGCGACCAAGCCTTCACACCTGCTCCTGCTCGCCTGCTCCCACTGTCCCCTGCCGCTGCACCTCTGCTCCCATACAGCTATCATAGCTGCATTATTGCAGCGTGAATTCAGCTGCTGCCAGGAATCTCGCCAGTTTGGTCGACGGGATCACATGGCGATCTATAAGGCCCATGTACAGCTTCAGCATGACGTTGTGCGTGCAAGGCGACCTACACCAGCTCACCAGAGATCGCAGGGACGGCATGGCGACCTCCTTGGTCGCTGGGAGCACCTGGCGACCTACATTCGCACTGTAGAATTCACCCTATATCATCAATTAATTGTTGGAACGGGTTATCTCGTGAATTATTTTTTCCAAGCACATTATCTCGTGGATTTAGCCGATTGAAAATAATGTTTTTTTAGATTTGAGAAAATTTTGAGTCTTTTTAAAAAATTATAACTATAATTTTTTATTTTAAATATTTTGTCAAAATTTTTTAAACATAACACATCATTTAACGATGGTAGAGGCCAAAGCATTTAAAATAATAAGGTTTATAATGTAGAATACTGCATTGACAAAAAAAAATTGAGATAAATGAAAAAAGAGAGTATTTTTTATTAAACAAATATTTAATAAACTTAACTCACATTTTAAATTTAGCTTAATGAAAAATGATTAGAAGTTAATGTGCATCTAGCGCCACCTGGCTCTCTTTTCTCTCAATCTTTTCCACTTTCCCGCAAAAGCCAAACAGCCCCGTCGATTCCGAGGCTATTCCCGTTCGACGATGAACCGAGTCAGCGCACTACAGCAAGTCCCAAACGACGAACCGGAGAAGACCCCTCAGAAAGAAGACGACGTACCTAACGAAGAACAACAACGAGAAGAAGAAGAACACAAAGGAGATTACTTGGATGTCCGTTCCCGCCCCTTCTTAATGAAGATCTTGCGGAAACAAGGTAACCCATTGGCAACCATTTCATCAACAAATGTCAATTCCTTTGATTACTTTTTGGCTATTATAGTTGCGGATTTCGACGTGCAGGTGACAGCCAAGTATTGTTTGCGGATAAAGTTTTGAAATTCACAACGTCAGGCAAGATGAAACGACGGATTCTAATAATCACTGATTTTGCGGTTTATCTTATTGATCCTTTAACCGGTGGGCTTAAACGGCGGATCGCTTTGGCCGCCGTGGATAAGCTGTGTTTGAGCGAATTACACGATAACTTCTTCTCCGTTGTCATCCCTACCGAGTATGATTTACTAATGGCTAGCACTCGCAAAGCTGAAATTGCTACCCTTTTATATGAAGCTATCAAAGCCAGTGCTCAATATGAACTCGAGGTTTCTTTTCCAATTGGTAATTTATATTTTCAACTGTCATTTTTATTTTCATGTCTGTTTCATTGCTTTGATAGGAATTGTTAAATTGGTGTAGGTATGATTCACTAGATTTATTAAAAAAGTTCAGCAAATTTGAGCATTGGATAATGGATTTCGACATAGTCCCATATTCAGCACTCACTGGACTCCCAAAAACAGACTAAAAGTTAGAAAATTCGATCATAGGATTGCGACATATTCTTGTATTCGGCACTCACTGGACTCTCGGAAAACATAGACGAAATGTTTAGAAAATTTGAGAATAGGATTGCGACATACTCATATTCGACACCACTGGACTCCTGGAAAACATAGACGAAAACTTAGAAAATTCGAGCATGGTATTGCGACATACTCTTGTATTTGACACTCACTGGACTCCCGGAAAACATAGACGAAAACTTTAGAAAATTCGAGCATAGGATTATGACATTCTTGTATTTGACACTAACTGGACTCCCGATAAACATCGACAAACAATCTTAACAATGCGGTTGAAGATGTTAACATCTTGGATTCTTTTATTAGTTGTTTCTTTTTTTAAAAGAAAATATGTGAATTCATACGCAAATGTTTCATATGTGTGTGTGTGTGTGATGTTTAAAACACTTGATCTTGATTGTTAAGGGGATCGTGCACCAACAAACCTTGTTCCCTGAACTCGTATGTGAATGTTCAACACGGGTATCCACCTTGACATAAGAGTTCATTATATATCGCTATAGTTTTGCTTATAGATGGCATTTCTAGGATAGTTTAGTTTGGTTGCTAGAAGGATTACAATATGTATCTTTAATCACGCTACTGATAGGATTCAGTTTATATAATCTTTGTATCGATTTATCTTTTCTCTCGTTTCCCAGTTTCGAATATAACGCTACTGCTGATATGATCAAGGAAGTTCTGTTCGAGGAAGTTGAAGGTATGCGAGTGAATGTACTTAACCACCTGTGTTATACAAGTTTTTTATGTATGTCGCCGGAACATGATTAGTTATGTAAATTACAGGGGGTGTTAGAACAAGAATTGTGACAAAAAAGGCGTGAGTTGCAGAACTCAAAATTTTTATCGGCGGGTGAATACGCACTCTTGGTCGGTCTTTTTGAGTAAGGTTCTGCTTAGCTTGGAGACTAACCCTGAAAACATGTAACCTTATTCATTTTTACACATTAATATATTGTTGAACACTAAAGCTCTGGAGCTGATTTCTTTGGTTTTTCTTACTCTCTTTAGGAAAGCAATCGAAGTTCGAGCTAAGAGGATGATGAGTTCCTTTTTAGGAATAGAATAAGTATTTGTTTATGGCAGTAATGCGAGTTTTTCCATTAGATGACAACGAGTCTTTTGGCCTAGTTTTGTGAGATTTTTTATGTTATCATTGCTCTTGGTAGTCACGGATGGATCGAAGGCGCTACGGTTGGGAGTAATCGCACCTTATTTTTTAAAATTATTATATATTTTAAGATGTTTTTATATTTTTACCTATATTCTATTTTCATTCCTTAAAATTTTATAAATTCGCTCCTTCTAAAATTTTAAACTTTCACCTCTTAAAATATTGCGTGGTCCCTGTTGGTAGTAGCATTTTGGATTCGACGTTATTACTTGGCAGAGTGATCACATTTTAGATAGAACATAACCCGAAATATAAATGAGGGTAAAATAGATGAATAGTTCTTTATTATAGTATTTTTATGTTAGGTTTGTTATTATAAAATATTTTCAAAATAATCATTTGAATTGAAAAGAAGTAAGGGTTATTATTTGCTACATTGTTTATGTAAAAAATAATTCTACAAGCGATCTTAAGATGATAAGTGTATTTATATTTTTCTTTAAAATATCATCTGATAATGAAAGAATACGGGAATGCTAATAAAATTGATGTAATAATATATTTAATATTTATACTTTATTTACACGAACTAAGTGATCTAGATAGTAAAAAAATTGTTGTTATTCTTTAAAATTATAGGTTCGTGTATCAAGAATGCTGAGGATGTAAACGTTTAATATCAAATGATTAAAAATTATCTTTGAACATGTACTACCTTGTATTTATATTGGATTAATTCAAATATATATATCTATCCAACGCTGGAATCACAAAACTCGAAAAGTAAAATCATAAAGTAACTAAAACTTTTTCTTTTAGATATGTTCAAATCTATCGAGTTTTTGAAGATACTAGCGCCGAATTTGAGCTAGTTATTGAGGCATTAATTGACATAATTTGATTAATAATCTACTTTGACTTTTGGTTTAAATTAGTTTAATTGAGGTACTAATTGACATAATTGATTTTTATTTATTTATTTATGGTGTTAATTGATTTAACGGGTGCTTTAATTGACATGATTATTATTATATGGTTTGTTTTAATTAGGATTTTAATTTGCATAACCGGTTAGTAAATTTTAAATGATTTGTTAATTGATTCATTTGGGCTTTAATTTGGATAATTAGTGTCCTTAAATTCTAGTTATTCATTAAATGGTTTTAATTGGCCTCGATTTTGACATCTAGCTAGTTTCAAAAATTATTCTCACCTTCATGATTGAACTTTAAGGTGACAATTTGATAGTTATGTGATTAATTCATCTCCAGACTTTTAATTAAGGATTTGAACAATTAATTTAATGCATGACTTTACAATTAGATTTATTTCAATTGTCACGCCTTTGGAGCCTTAAACTCGAGAACGTGCAACCTTAGATGCTTCAGAACCACTCTTGGGCGTTTTGTACCTAAGTCAGCCTGAAAAACACTAAGCTAGAATGCTTAGTACAAGACGGAAACACAAAAGAACTTGGGAAGGAGATAACTGACACAAACAAGAGAGAGTTGGGTGAATGCTCTTTGTATTCCACCAAATGAAATGAAAAGTGAAGTGAGTACAAATGAGGTGGGGAAGACGTCTATTTATTGTTGAATCCCCTTACACTGGACGACTAAGATCAATCTATATCAACGACTAATATGAGCCCTATTAATTACAAATCTTCCTATCTAAGGAAACTTAATCAAATTAGCATCTACACAAATCAATTAGTTCCATTCTTTCATTTGATTGAAGATCTCCTTGGATATGGAAAGATTCCTCCATAATCCTCTTTGATATGATTTTATCCCCTGCCATACTTGCCAAGCCCTTGTGATAATCTTTTGATATAATATCACTTCCCATATTTGCAGGTTCGATGTGAATGAGCTCTTCAGCTTTCTCTATGGATTGGGCCAAGTCCTGATGGATTAGTCACGCCCAACATCTTCTTGAGAACCTCTATCCCGGTCTTAAGTGCACATGTCTCGAGCCTAATCTCTAGGGGAGTGAAATTCTCCCCCACCGAACCTAGTGACGCCCTCGTCGCACCATTGGAATGTACTTAGACTTTTTCATATCAGTTTCTTCCGCTGCCTTGGCTTGTTGCTGTCCCCCCATATGGACTGCTTTCCTTGGCTTTTTCCGCCATGTAAGCTTGTACTTTTTTGTCCCATTGTGTACACCTCAGTTGTAGGAACCCATTCTTACCCGTCTGCACTTGCCTCCGAATGAACTGCCTCGATCCTTTGGTAAAGGATTGGATGACTCCCCTAGTCCCTTCTAACCTTTAGCTGCTCCCCTTTTGTGATTAGGTCCTCCTCGACCTAGACTCACTGAAGATGGAAAATTAGACTTAACAATACAAGAGTTGTGTTCGAGATGTACCTTGTCCTTTTCGGTTGCATTCACCCAAAAATGCATCAGCCTTCTTTTCTCCTTGGAGTTTGATGCTCCATGCATCGACACTTCTCCCTTAAGTTTGGTGCCCCTTGTTGCATCGACTCTTCCACCTTAAAGTCTGATGCCTCTACCACCTTACCCATTGGTGGTGTGTCCATATCCCTCGAGAGCTTGGGTCCCATCATCCCTTCCTGGATATTCGCCTCATTTGGAACATCTTCAACAAACTGGATGATTGTAAATCCCTTAATCCCTTTCCCCTTATCTCATTTCAAAGGCACAATGCATTGTTGTTTGGGATCAAAGATGGTTAAAGTATCAGCGTAGGGGAAAATGAAAGCTTTAACACGATCAAGAAAACTTAGACCGATCACAAAATCAAAATCATCCTATGTGACTACCTTGAAGTCCACATTGTCCTTCTATTCTCCAATTTGTAGTTCAATCTTCTGTACCTCTTCAGCAACTGGTACTCCATCGAAATTGACAGTCTCGATCATCCCATTTGTCTTCTCCACTCGAAGATCAAGATTCTCAGCAGCTCTCTTGGACATAAATAGATCGGTTGCCCTAGTGTCCGCCAGAGCACTCTTCGACCGTCCCGCAATGTTGATGTCCACATACATCAACCCTTTTTACTTCTGGCTCCCATTCACCTTGACATAACTTATCATTGTTCCAAGCCTCATCACTTGTAGGCTAGTCTACCTCCTTGGACATCTTGGCTCGATCCCCACAACCATGTGACCCCTCACCTTGGTGGTACCTCAGTTGCTCCACTTCTCCTTTTAGCTTAGTTGCCTTGATGCTTTTAATTGTGCCAAGTGTGGCTTACCTCTGGCTCGTCCTCCTGAATCAAGATATAGCCAATTTATCCCTCTTCGGGCAATCCCTTAACATGTTCTTGCCCCCACAAAGGTAGCACGTGAGATGCTCTCTGTTATTCTCTTGGTCTCTGTCTCAGTTATCAGATGACATAAACTTGCCTTTTATACGGAGTAGTTCAAATCCTCTATTCCTTGGCATTCCCTCGCCCTTTTGATACTCTTCGGCTTCATCTTTGGATGATTTCTCTCTATCCCCCCACCATTTCCTTGTATCTCAACTTTGGCTCACTCTTCACAATCTTGAACTGTGCTATGGCCTCGACTACAATTATCACTTTAGAAAGGTTATGAACATCCCTCCGTTGGATCTTCATCTCGACCCATCATTGTAGTCCGATCATGAAGGCGTAGAATCCCACATTTTCGCTCATGGTCAGGATTTACAGTTTGAGTTCTATGAATCATTTCACATATTTTTTGATAGAACTATCATGCTTTAGTTGTTGTAGCTTTTTCCTCACCTCAAGTTCGACATACTTGGGGTAGAATTGTTCATTGAACTCTTCATATTTTTTCATTGGGATCTCTTGGTTCGTCCCCTCTGAGTATTTGCGTCACCACCATAACATAGCAACATCAGTTAAGTAATTGGAGGCCACATTTACCTTAGTGGCTTCGTCATCGACACCCATACCCCGAAAGTATTGCTCTATACTCCAAATGAAATTCTCCACTTCATGTTCCGAGCGGGTTCCCCTGAACTTCTTCGGCTTCAGAACATCGATCATGTGTTTTAATGTTGGTGTTTCTCCTAGCTCCCCATTCATCACGACAACCTTGTAAACCAACACCACACTCTGGAGCTCATTCATCTCTCGTATCATGTTCGCTTTCATGGCCAAGAACATGATCTCGAGAAACTTGGTCCACTCATTAACTTTCTCGACCATGTCATTGATGACACCTTGAGCCTTCAACCTTAGGATGTGTTGAGACATATCCTCCATGGTGCTCTTGACTTCACTTATCTCTTGCCTTAGAGCCTCCTCCTTGGCCCTAATCGAATCACATTCACAAACCATCTTGTCACTAAACTCGAGAAGCTCTTACACCTCCCTTTGGGTATGTCTTTCCAGTTCCTCCAACCTGGTGACCATTTTCTCCAAGGATGAAAGAGAATCCTTAGATTTTCCTTGCTTTTTCTCAGCAGCAGCACGAGTCTTGACTCCCACATTAGAAAATGGGACCTCTTATTGGTTTTGTGATGATATCTCTCTTAAAATCAGCTTGAAAACTTGTCATTTACCACAACGAACTCGCTCTGATACCATTTGTCACACCCTTGGAGCCTTAAACTCGAGAATATACGGCCTTAGATGCTTTGAAACCACTCTTGGGCATTTTACACCTAAGTTAGCTTGAAAAACACTAAATACGAAAGCACAAAAGAACTTGAGAAGGAGAAATTTCACACAAACAAGAGAGAAAGTTGGGTGAATGCTATTTGTATTCCACCAAATGAAATGAAAAGTGAAGTGAGTACAAATGAGGTGGGAAAGACCTCTATTTATAGTTGAATCCCCTTACAATGGACGATTAAGATCAATCATGAGACTTATTAATTATAAATCTTCATATATAAGGAAACTCAATCAAATTAGCATC